TCAGTCAGTGTGTCTGTATTAACCCCTCTCTCTCAGTGCAGTGTTAATCATTCACTCAGTCAGAGTCTTAGTGATAAACCCTCTCTCTCTTCCATCAGGGGAGTCAGGCCTGGGTAAATCCACTCTGATTGACAGCCTCTTCCTCACTGACCTATACAAAGAAAGGACGATTCTTCAGGCTGAAGGTAAGTCCAGCCATGCAGTGGCGAAGCTGAGCCGTTGGACTCACTGGTACAGACTTGCTGGAGTCTTTCCGATACAGTCGCATGTTTGTCCATCTCAGCTGCCAAATAGCAGAGGAAGTGGGAGTGCAGCTCAGCTGTAACACCGGATCAAATGTGTTTCTGCCTCTGACAGCAAGAGGGCACGGCGTGATGTCGTTATCTGACAGCACTCATGCTGCAGACACTGTGACATTCTCACAGCGCTCGGAACTGCCTTCCCGAACCCAAAGGTTTGGAAAACAACAAAGCCCCGTTCAATCATTCCTGTGTCCTGCCAGTTGAATATGTCAGCGTAATATTATTTTGATGGGTACAGTATATACTGTATAAGCTCCGAAAGGATTTGGACACAGATAAGAGCAACTGCAGACAATCTATTTATACAGCTGTATTAGCGTGTAGTCATGTTTTGTGGTATAATTATAGCAACGCCAACAGGTGCTCTGCAGGATTATTGATATTGATAATTATAATGTGCAAATTTGAATTTATGGGTGAGGTGCGTTTTGCAGTACACTATCATCGCTAATCTAGGGACTCCAGTGTGAGTGAGATACCAACACTGTCCTGCAGACTGGAGTGCAGGGAGAGCCATTCAGCGTACGTGTGCGTGTGTGAGAGAGACGGTGGCAGCCAAGAGTGCGTGTGAGCCAACTGAAGGCTTTCAGGAAGAGCAGAGCCGTGAGGGGAGTTAACCCGAGCTCTGCAGTCAACATGATTGAATAAAGAAGGAGAGAAACTGGCCCGAGATCCAAGGCGAAGGAAGCTGGGCATTGAATCTGAAAGTCTTATCCACCCTGAGAAACAGCACTTTGCTTGGGTACCAGCTGCAGAAAACTGCCTGTGTTCCGTAGTTGTTTTCTGCAGTGGCTCCAACACATTAAAAATATTGAAGTTTGAAGATAATTCTACTGGGGGCACAGAGGTGCATTGGTTAGCATTGGCATCTCATAGCTCTGGGACCCTGGGAGTTCCTAGATGTTCTCAGAGTAGAAATTGCATTTTCACTTGCATGGGTTTCCTCCCACAGCCCAGAGACATACAGGTGGATGAATTGGCTACCAGGAAAGCTAGCTTTGATGTG